CAAGATAATAACTTCTACCTGATGATTTTGAGTATTCTCATTACCTGTTTGCTGGACAATGTATGGTATTTATGAGGAGAAATTACATGTGAATCACTTCTGGGAGTTAAAGGGTTAAATACCTCGAGACAAATTTTACCATGGTAACAAAGTCACTGCATGAGATGAAAAAAAAAAATTATATATAAGACATGTGCTTTAATGGTTCTTCAGGATAGGTCTATTTAAAACAACAACTTACTAAAACAAGCAGAACAGGATGATCTGTTAGCTCCATACATGTATATCCTTACCCTTGTTGAAAAAAGCATACAGCTGATCTCCTGTCATACCAAGAGCTTCACAAGTCTTCAATTTACTGGTAAAGATATGAACCTTGGGTGACCCAGTGTCATCTTCCTCAATGCAGAATGTCTTGTGTCCTAGACCATGTTGGTACAAACTTTCAGCCGTAAATGTTTGAAGAAGTCGGGAATTAAAGGCAAGTCTCTTAACCGCAGAATCTACATCGCATGGAACATTCGCAGGAGCATCAAAGGATCCATCACTATCAGTGCACTTGATGTACACTACACGAACAAATCTGTCAAAGAATGAATTAGGTCATCATCATCATCATTTATTAGCCACTTAAGATATAATATTTATACAGGTTTAACAGTATGTAGGGCAAGGAGACCTCCAAGAAACCACCAGGCTTATAGGGGTGGCCACCTCAGTTGTCAGTATGTTCCTAATTAAGTTGTGGATGTGGATGTGTGGCTTGACTAAGGCAGGTCAAGTCTTCTTAGGGCACTGTAGCACATAACCATCTATGCTTTAACCCTTTGACCCTTAGGAGTGACCAGCTTCTAATTTCTCCCTACAGTATCATTCTTGAATCAAATGAAAAGGTCATGAGAATAAAGGAAATGATCACCAATTTAAGAAGCTTCTGATTGTTAAACAATGATATGCTATAAAATGCTATATAAGGGAAGGGCAGTGACCTGTGATGGACTAGCATTACAGTCAGGACAAGTAGCAGTCTTAGGTGCAGTGAGGTGTAATGGCAGTTAGAGACCACGTAGCCTCCAATTTAACTCTCTGCCCCTGTCTGCAGAGTATGGTAGATGCACACACCACTTTTTTTCTTTGTCACAATACATTTTACACTGCAGAATTTCCTTTGCATGCACAAGATGTCATTGAGTTTTGCCATACCATGCATACTGGCCTCTGTCCATTGTGGTAAAACAAAGAGCCTTGCCTAACAATTAAAAGAGTAACAAGCATACCTTGATATTGTGACTGGTATGTATGTTAACTTGAACTCGAGTTCATTAAAATCTGTTCTATTCGGCACTTTCAACACAATCAAGTTTTCCCCAATGTTAAGAGGAACAACTGCCTTGAAACCTTTACAAACCACAGGCCATGACAATTCGTGATTGCCACATCTAATCAGTATAGAAAAACCATCTTGATAAACTTCTAATTCATTCTCAATCAATGTTGAATCCAGAGCTCGAATCTTATTTCTCCTCTCTGATTCAGAGTCACTTGATGTATCTAAACTAGTACTGGACACTCGACGGATTCTTTTAGGTCCAGATGTTTCGCTATCAGGACATATTATCCCCTCTAATAGCACTAGAGGGTAGCAAACAGTTTCGCCCTGAAAATGATTCAAAACGCAAATTTCTTGATCAGTTTTTTCCATTTCTTCCCTTGCCATTTAAAACCACCGCTGTAATAACTTTGACACGATGGTGAGCTTGTACAGGTTCGGTTTTTGTCTCCTCCTGAATACTTTTTGCAAAGTATGATTACTTCGTTGTTCGTGTTTTCTTCCTAGATGTAACACATTAAAGGTATTTCTTCACATCAGGAAGTAGTCAACAAATCTGACAATGGATAACCAAAGATAGACTTAAAAAATTCCCAACTCGCTTTAAGCAGTTCAGCTCATCCGTGACGTGTATATTACCATGCTGTTGAAAATGACATCGAAATAGTCGATGCCTACTGGTTCCTAGGTGATTTCTATTTCCTAGAATATATGCATCATTCGTCCGCCATGTTGAAAAACGTCGTTTCCAGTCCTTTCTCAGCCAAACTGTGTCAACTGATCACCTGATCCACGTCACTGGTTAGTTATCGTCCTCCATTAGAGTCTTGGCGCTGGTTACAGCAGCCCAGTGAGCTTTCGTTACTACTTTTATTTCCACTGCAAAGTCCCTGTAAGGGACACAGTACCTGTGTTACAAGGGAGCAAACGTTCCCTTGTTGTTTTTTGTATATTTTTAACTTAAATTTTTCAAAACCTTGGACACAAACAACGAAAAACTACCACCGCAGTTTCGTCAGGTTCATTATGGCTTTGTGAGAATTTTGCGCCATGTTTATGCAAGAATTGGTCGAAAACGTCTTTTCTCCTGTTGGAGTGACCGTTTGTTGCGTTTCAGTTTTTAATTCAAAGCTTCACAGAACAGAAATTTGGGCAGTGGATGAGCAAGGAGTGCGAGGAGATGGAAGGAAGAGCTGCTACCCCGAAAGGAGTAGTTCCTTCTTCACAGCCGAATGGAAAGGAGCCAGGTACCGAAATAATGTACATCAGAATACTTGTACAATTGTTTTGTTATTTAACATTGGTTACAAAGGCCATACATTGTATTTGAATCTTTAACGCTTTGATTTACTTCGCATGTGGGAAGGTTTTCGAAATAGTTTCTGGTTGGATATGGTTTGCGGAATTAAATTTAGGCTATATGTAACGAATTTAGCTTACGTTTGTTGAACCTTGTTAAGTTATGTCTGTGGAACATATAATGGGTCTAAATACTGTTGAGCAGTTTTAGAGACTTGCTTGTTAGCTTGGAAACCTAAATTATTTTATTCTCCGATATCTCTATCTCACGAGTGATTGTTTATGTGTTGCGACTCTCAGTTCGTCTACTGCTACTCAACGAAGAAACAGAAAGATGTAGTAAGAAGACTGTACTGTTTTCCTTTATACGTGTATTGTCTTAACATTCGTTAGAAATTTCCTCTAGCCTTGATTAAGAATGATGCGAAAGAGCTGTGAAGAAGGATATTTTAAACGCAATTTTTGCAAAAATGGTTTCAAGTAGCTTTGATTTGTTTATGTTTAATTTGGTCGCTGATCAGGGCAAATGTTGCCTACAGTAAGTTCCAAGGCTCAAAACAATGTCTAGGCTGGCACTGGTCAAGTTGTCCCATCAAACCTAATTTTGCTTGAAACCAACCCATGACCTGGAGCCAAAGATTTACCCATCAGGCCCTCCCACTTACTCAGTAAGGACATTTTATGACCAATAACTCATTGTATTCTTTCAGCCCAGAGAAATAAAGGTAACTGGAGAGGTAGAAATAGAAGAGGATACAACAGTGCTAGATATCCCAATCAAGACCGTTATAGACAACAGAGAGACTCGTATGACAAGAGAGATGGGTTCAATCAACCACAGAGGCGTGGAGCTATGCCAGACAGGAGGCCCCCCACAAGAAGTTTCTATCAGTCTGGTGTAGATTCAAAAAGGGTAAACATGCTTACTTTTGACTTTTTATTTTTTTAAAGATTGCTTTGAGGCAATTTGGTGTGTAAGACAACCTTTTGCTTCTGGGTATGATGTGCTAGTTTTAAAAGGAAGTATGTCGGCCAAAGCTTGTATGAAACCCAGAAATCTCATGAAAATAAATAAATTTGCATACTTATTGTTCAGAAAAAAGGAGGTGTGGTGAAGTAAGGGAGGTGTAACAAGAGCTTAATTACTTTGGCCTTGGAAATTGGTGGCTGTTCAACTCAGGCCACATGTTTGAATCACAACCTTGAATCTACCAAATTAAAATGATAATGGATGAGAAGTATGTGGAAAAAGGTTTGAATCTGTACAGGTTGTTGCATGGTAGTATTCAGGCTCTTATTCATGACATCTCATTCTCCTAGGAGTCTGTCTCAGATGCACTAGAAGACTATCCAGTCACTGGTACTACTGCTGGGTCGAAAAAGTATGGCATGTCACTCAATCACCTTTTGAACTTCAAATATGCACCTAGGGAAAAGCCCCTTGCTTATCTCCCCAGAAATGGTCGCAAAAAGTACACTCCATTCAATAAAGAACAGTTCATCCAAGCTAAGTGAGTATATATTTCATATTGGATGTTTTGGTGTATAGTATCACTGAGTATTTTTACAAGTTTTGCTAAATAAATAACCAATGGCCCAAATAACCATGCAATATCGAAGGATATTTGTACTCTATCCGCATGTTATTTTTACTCGACTTTGTGCAGTTGGACAATAACTGTGATGACTTCAAATGTTTCAAATTGATTCAGCTACTCCAGGAAACTCTTTTTCAAGGTAGTTTGATCAAGGGTCAGTGATTATTAACAACAATAGAACTAACTGTAGAAGGGAAAAAAGAAACAGCCACAGCAAAATGGCTTAGTGCTCACTCATCTGGTTAGAACCCTTGAAGTTTCAAATTTTATTGTTCATTATTATTTTCTAGCTTTCAGTTTGTAGTGTCTGATTCTGGTGATTATGAAATTCATGCCATGGACCCTGATGTGCTTGTGGACTGGGATTTGATAGAACAAGTGGTGAGTTCATTACATCAAAACTTTTATAATTTCTTCCTAAAATCATCTGACAAGTGTAAAAAATTTATTTATGCAGATTATTTTGTTAATGTTATCAATTTATCTTGATTTATTTTCACAGCGAATCTTAAGCCATGAGGTGCCATCATGCCCCATCTGTTTATATCCCCCTGTTGCAGGTAGATGTGATACTGTTTAACAAATTAATTGACTTTAAACAGGTACATATTAAGTTAAGAAGAAAATGTCTTAAAATACACTGAAAGGTTATGTTGATTAGCCCTTCCCTAAAATTTGAATAGATTTGCCAAGATGTTGAGGTTTTGTAACAGTATTTGTCTCAACATCAACATCAACATCCCCAAAAATTTGAGTAGATTTGTCAAGATGCTGAGATGACATGATAGTATTTATCTCAACATCAACATCCCTAAAATTTGAATAGATTTGCCAAGATGCTGAGGTTATGTAATGATATAGGTCTCAACATCAAATTCCACACTGGCAAGCTTATTGGCTGGAAAAAATCTTTTTTAGGTTATTGTAATCTTAATGGATTTCACTGTCTGTTTTTTAGCTAAGATAACCCGATGTGGCCATATCTACTGCTGGTCTTGTATCCTTCATTACTTAAGTCTGGTAAGTGTTTAGTGATACCCATGACTTTTTAAACCTTAACTCCCAGGAGTGACAAAGACCTAATTTCTCCTTACAATATCAATACATCAATAAGCAAACAAGTAATGAGATTAAATGAAAACATCCATCAAAGCATTATTAGTTGATTCAATATTAAATTCTCTAAACTAACCTCATGATAATCATATGGTAGACATAAAGGATAATTATTAATGAGATATTGGGAGTGAATGGGTTTATACTCTGAAGTTACTTTTTCTCACATGCATTATAGATGATAACTAGCACGCTAAATTAGATTTCCTCAAAGCACAAAGGAACCATGAGATCTGGCACTGTCCTGGAGGGAGATATCCTAGTCTCTTGCCAAAGGAACCTAGCACATTTGCCATAGACATACCCATTCCAATTCCCTGGTGGTGGACAACACTTTGACAGTTTTTCCTAAGAAAACATAATGAACCTAATCAGAAACTGTTAAATTTCATTGTAATGATGCTGTGTGGGGTTAAAACTATAGGACTGCTAGTTATTTTAGGATAATACAGGGAGATAACCCTTTCACTAGAAAGGAATTTTCTCCTCACATTTTTAATAAATTTTCAAGCAGAAGTGTCAAAAGAATGAAGAGAAAAGCAAGTAAGGGATGATCTCTGATTGGAAGCTTAATTCTCAGATCCAAAATTATAAGAAAGGTAGAACGGACAGTGCAGAGAAAAAATATTTAGATCTTGGGACTGCAAGGGTTAAAAGATAAATAACTCAATTTAAAACTTGCTTCAACAGAGCGACAACTCTTGGCACAAGTGTCCCATTTGTTTTGAAGCTGTCCACAAAAATAACTTGAAGAGGTACAATAATACTATCCAAGCCCAAAGTAATGATGAATGTGATGTACTATAATCAAACTTTGTGTGTATTAAAGTTTCTTTTGGTTCTGCAATTTTGATCTATTTAAGAGTCAGTTTCTCAGAGCAGTGTCCATTTTTTGGTTATGCTCTTCGGCTTACAGGAATATATAAGTTCAATATTGTTCACAGAGCATTTCAAAACAGTTGGGTAAGCTGTTGCTCTGTACCTCTGCTTAAGCAATTTTTGAAGTGTTGAAGGTGACAAAAAATTATAACATGCATCTTTCTTTGGTTCATATAATTTTTATTAATTGACTAAGTGCTAAATTTTTTAGTGATAAAACCCACAGAATTCTTCTTTTTAGATTTTCACCAATTTTTCTGTTTTCTTTTCAGTGTTGTTGCCATGGAATCACACCCATTTTCAGTTGGTGATACTATCACCATGAGGCTTATGAAGCGAGCTAAGGTACTCTTAACCCTTTCTGCCTTAACATCAGTGTGCATATTCTCCATACTGTTCTCTATACATTTCCTAAGCTGCTGACTAGGAGAAGTTGTTTAACAATCAAGAGCTTCTTTAGTTGGTGATCATTTTCTTTATTCTCATTACCTTAAAATGTGATTCAGGGGTGTAACAGCAAGGAGAAATTACCGTAAAAACCTGCATATAAGCCACACCTTTTTTCCAAAAATTGTCACTAGAAATTAGAAGTGAGGCTTATCGGCGGGAACATTTGAAAAAAGTGTTGTGAATGTCATCCAATCTAATGCCTGGTTACTAAGCTTCGAATGTTCTGCTCACATTCTCGTTGTAATGCAAAAATCTATGGAAAAACTGTGTTGAATGAAGAAATTCCTGTCA